AGGTGCTTGCGCTGGGCAAGGCTTTGATGTGCTTGCGCGGGACAAGGCTTAGAGATGCTTGCGCTGGGCAAGGCTTGTGTGCTTGCACGGGGCAAGGTTTTGATGTGCTTGCGCGGGGCAAGGCTTAGAGGTGCTTGCGCTGGGCAAGGCTTGTGTGCTTGCACGGGGCAAGGTTTTGATGTGCTTGCGCGGGGCAAGGCTTAGAGGTGCTTGCGCTGGGCAAGACTTGTGTGCTTGCACAGGGCAAGGCTTTTGATAGTGCCTACTTGTGACAGGGCTTTTGTTTGGAAATTATGATAGGTGCTAGGTACAACCATGGATCTAAATGTAAACATACGAGAATAAATTCGTTGATCAAATAAGTGCCTTTACTTTTGACATGTCACTCATAACAGCATTAAGTTAATATTATGACGATTCAAAGACGTTTTACATAACAGAGACAAAACAATAAATATGTAAGAGAGAGTGTAGTATTAAAGTTATGCATTGCATGTCTCTCTTCACGGGTCATGTGTTAATGAAAAAAAAATGGAAGATAGAACATATGTTAATGAAAGATAGAACATATGTTAATGAAAAAAATTAAAATGACAGTGATACTGATTGAAATATCAGTTTTGCCATTTGTAACCTGCCATGTCATGAGTAGAAACAAAAGGCTAGTATGCAAGAGAATAAATGAAAAAAGTTAAGTAATGTAGACCTATATGATTATCATTGATTCATTGTGTCTGCTTGGTGTTTGGACATGCACATGTAGGGAGTTTTTTGTCATTATTGTAAGTGTCATGCATTGTCTAGGAAAACTAAGAGGCTTACGAGTGGAATCAAGACCTTCAAGTGTCATTTATGAGGCTTGCTCCTCAGGGCAACTAATGTGTTTGCTCATTTTGTCTTTTAGGGGAAATTAAAAGCTAACATGTGGTTATATCTTGGCCTTAATATTCATATTGAAGTATCTACAAATAAAAATGAATTTCACAGTTGTGTACACCTTATTCATAGAAAATCAGACTATGCCGTAGGCAAAAGGGGCAATAATTATATCATCTTCTAAATTTTTTTTTTTTTTTTTTATCTTGTCATTTTNNNNTTTTTTTTTTTTATCTTGTCATTTTTCCCATCAGATTTGTACTCCCACAAACATAGAAGTCCACTCCGTTGTGCGATTGTAATTTTAACTTCCAACAATAAAAACTAGAAGCCTGCGCAATATGCTATGTAAGGAAATAAAACTATTCTAGGACAGAATATTCAATTTAGGAAAGAGTCTCTAGGATAGTGATAAAATCTCAATAATCATGACTTAAATAACGGTTAATACCTTTTCCCAAGTTTCCTTAAAGATGATATAGCAGTGTTGATATAAGAGATTTTTGAGTTGTTTGTACTTCTAGTAATACTAATGCACTCTAAATTTGTTATGTGATTACAAATTTGTGCAATTATTTATATTCCATTTATTTTCCAATCTCAATGCATTGAACATAAATAGTACAGCCAAGCAGTAACACACTTTTTTTTGTCATAAGTTTGATTAATTGGAGGAAAAACGTGTTTAGCAGTGAAAATGTGAGATATGGTGCAAATTATTAGAACAACATATATTTCCATTATACCTCAATTGAGAATCCATGGCGGCTTCTCTTCTCGTGAACTCTATATAAGCAGACCCTTTTGATTGCCCAGTTGTTGCATCGGTTGGAATAATCACTTTTTGGACTTCTTCGAAATTATTGAAGTGCCGGGAAAGACTATTCTTCGTGGCAGCAAAATAAACATTGCTAACAAAGATGGTTCGAGAATCAACATCTTCAGTAGGTGCAGCAGTGGAATGTAAAGCAGAAGTCAATGTCTGTGTCTTTAGAGATTTCACTTGTTCTGATTTACCTTGATTAGTATTCTTACAAGTAACCTGAGGTTCCTTCAGAGAGCAGTCTGTATCATTGTCTTCATCTCCAAGTGTTATTGATACACTTGGAGCCGCAATATTATCATTTATCATCCAACACGTCCCGAACCAACCTTCATATGTTTCTGCGATTGAGAAGAAGAAGCTCCAAAAAGGGGTATGGATGGGACTGTACAATTGTTAACACATTACTGCAATTCAGCCACCAAAGGAGCTGCTATAGGAACGGTAATGGGACTCTTACCTGGGCCAGAAGTGGCTTGGTCAGAAGAAAAAGGGTCAGCCATAGCTCCCTCAACTAGCTGGACGTTTTTAATGATACAATGGGTTGGGGTAATTTGTTTAAGAGGCCCAAGTCCACAATTGTGGGCTGAATAATGTTTTTTCTTGCCCATAAAAGAAAGTGGGCTGGGCAGGAGTAAGGCCCAATGTACGAGAAAGAGGGATAAAACAGTTCGGCCCACTAAAAGCCAAACCAGCAGAAAAATAAATTAAAAATATACCACAAGGCCCAGAAGAGAATAAAGGGCCCCAAAGCCCAAATAGAATGGCTGAACCAGAGAAGCAATTGGCCCAAGAGAGTCCCAATGGTAAACCTAATAAACTGACCAAACCTGATGAAAACCCGTAGGCTGAAAAATGCAGGCAAAGAGACAGCACGACAGCTAAACGATGGCGTCTAATAGTCATAACACACCAACCAACAGCTGAAAAGCAGGATCCGGCAAGAAAAACTTGGACCACCGAATGCCAGCCTGGAATCGCAATCAGATGAAGAGGAGAGCAGGCCGAAACAATGGAGCAGCACTTAGCTGACCAGAACACAGTCCCAAAGGCTGAGTGACGGAACTTGCTACTAGAATTGTATAATGAAATAGTTGAATCCTTGACTTTAATATTCAATTTGAGTAATCAGGTACGAATCACTTTTTTCAAAATCCTTCAGATTATTGGACTCTTCTTGCCTTGGAACTTGACAATTATTCTTATCTTGAGAATCAAGATTCTTATTATTTTTTTTTTTTGTCAACAGGAGTTTCTTGGCCATCAGCCCCACCAACTGTTCATTAAGGGCTTTAAAGGAAACCAAAGCCATGGTTTTCTTTCTAAATTATACAGCGCATTGTCGTCTTCCAAAATTATTTCAGAACCTAGTTGATCTGATTTAATGATAGAGTTTTCGTTTTTTTTCAACCCTTTTCTAGTGGCCATTCTTCCATTTTTGGTGGCTAATATCTGTTTCCATGTGGAGGCGACGACCAGAAAATAATCTTTTCCACTGGCTTTTTTGAATGTGATGAAAACATGGTTAATATTCCGTTTCCCCGCATACGGCGCCAATGATGATGCCAAAAANATTTTATATTTATGACATGCAAGTTACCTGATTAATTAAATAAACAAATAAAAGAGTTGCAACTTGCAGGGAAAATATCTTCCCAAAATACAATCTTGCACGTAATTTTATTATTTTTATCAGTCCCCACGACTCGCGGTACCTAACTTCTTGATTCGGAAAGTTGGTGGGCCTAATAAAGGACATTGAACTTAGCAGATTTTTGGCAATAAATGGCTTGTGTTCACTTCTTTAAAGATACAATCATGCACAGAAATTTCTTGTCCACATATACAACACGATATTTTATTATTGCGAGCAAAAATTATTTTTTTAAGAACAACGTTATTCACAGGAAAAATTATCGTTAATTACTCTACGTATCATACACGTGACAGTTTGTTATTTGTTGCATGAGGCAATAAAAAAACTAACTTATTAATATATCAAATAACAAACTGTTAAATATATGCCAATTGTCTTCACTATGAATAAATTACAAGAAATGTAATTTATTTGCTGCCAACACCGCATCGTCAAGTAGATGGACACAAAAATCTGTATAAATTACAAGAAATGTCTAC